AATACATTTACAAAATTAATGCCTTCAGCTATTTTCTTCTCTTAAAACCATTCCTGCCTATAACTTGTAAACTGAATTCATCTGAACTTGGATTGTTACCAACAAATATACCAATAATTATACAGTCAAGACCCAAAGCATAACTATCTACATTAAATGAATCATACCCAGAAACAGCGTCCATAATTGAGCCTGATGGTGCCAAATCATGTCTGAAACAAAACACTGCATGATACATCATCGGATATTTCAAGAGCTGTTGGAGGGGGAAAAAACAAATGTTCCCCAGCACTCCTGTGTGTCATCAGAGCACACCATAAAAGCTTTAGAGTGGTGTGCTAACAGGTTTTGCCCAATGACTGGCAATTAGTACCGAGAACATTTTAGACCAACTCTACCATCACCACACTGAGACTGCCATCATGTATTTACCACGTTTCAATGGGCAGTACCTGCTAACAGATCTATCCCTTTGTATCTGTGCTAGGTTATCTTTGGGGTCACATCTCTTGTTAGAAAAAGCATTTGGCTCCTCTAGCCTCAATATAAATGAAAAGCTTTTACCACATGAACAAGGTCAATTTGTTCTGTTTGGGGGATAAAGTAATGAAATGAACTATAAGGTACTAGAGTGTAGGATGGATTTGCCTTTCATCAACCTCACAAAAGAGAGGAGGCAATGAACAACTGATATGTCATGGTGAGGTTTTCATACTAGGTTTCAAATAACAAGCATGAATAGCTGCATAGAATATAGAGCACATAATGAAATTTTATTTGTACTAAAGAATGTTATTTTTCATTTTGTGATTTCATTATTTGTTTACCAGTGCACATATTTGTTTCTTTTTCCCAGTACACTAAGTAGTTGTACATATCTAATTCACTACAAGAATTTAGACACACAGGATAGATAAATATGATGTGATATTATTGCTGCTAGAAGCTTAAACAGTATCTGCTAGGAAATATTGAAGAGATAAAAAAAATTATCCAACCTTGGTTTCAACTATAGTATAGTGTGTCCTTAATATCCCAAGACACAACTGTGAAGAATCTCGTCTGTTAACATATTAATTTATATTCACATACATAAGGATGAGCAGTCATAAAAATGAGAAGTGGATTATTCGGCATTACAATGGCTGCAAGAGATACTGATACATTTCCTTTAGAATCCTAACTGGATGAAGTCAGAAATAGCTCAGCTTTAACAATACCTGATGGGTTTTTGTAAATAAGACTTTTGATATTTTACATTTTCAGCCCGAACCGCACTGAAAGTTCTGTGCATGTATGTGCACATGAATGCAGACCTCATAGGTTTTCTTTGATGTCAAGCAAGCAGAGTCAGCACATGTGTTTTAGGAAGGCTCATTGTGTGAACATGAAGACCGATCAATTCTGCAATGTCGAGTTTCTAAGTTTAAGGACTCATATTTAAGAAGCCACTGAGCTAGTGTCCCTAGCACATACATAGTGGTACATGGTGTGACTGTTTTAAAGAAGGTACTTTGAGCATGTAATTATAGCACTCCATGTAGAGAATTTGTTCAAATCTTAGGATATTTAGCTACAGGGAAAGCGAAGAACAAAGGCTGCTTCATCACTGAGTTTGTACTTCCTGTCTTAAGTCATTTGGAGGTAAGGCAGACTAGAGCGTAACAGAAAGGTGTTTAGTAGTAGGGACTCAACAATTGGAATTTTGTGAAAGACCTAACAGAAATATCAAAGTCACTTAAAATATCAAAATACAGAAATCCATATAATCAAACTAAAAAACTCAGCCATTACTGTTGAAAGAAAGCATCAATGATACACTACACTTGAGCTTTGTCTTCTCAAAACAGCAGAGCCTGAGAGTATCACTGTAGATATACATGAAGTCGCCTTTTAAATATTGGGACCTTAAACCCCTCCTTCACATTAGCAGTTAAAATGACAACACTCAGATTCTCATCAAATGATGTTTTATTAGTAAAAACAGTTAACACATAAAGGTAACAGAAAGTGTAGCCAGGCGGTGGTGGCGCACGCCTTTAATCCCAGCACTTGGGAGGCAGAGGCAGGTGGATTTCTGAGTTCGAGGCCAGCCTGGTCTACAGAGTGAGTTCCAGGACAGCCAGGACTACACAGAGAAACCCTGTCTCGAAAAAAACAAAAAACAAAAGGTAACAGAAAGTATATGAAGGAGTGTAGCAGTGCAAAGTGGACAAAAGAAGAGGTGCCTCTACCCATCTCTGTCCCTTCTCTACTTAGGACAATGACTAAGGACTTTTAGTAACCATCTCATTACAGTGGCATGATGTACTTAATTCACCTTTAAAATGTTCTCCTATGGTCTGACTGTCCCCTCCCAAACTTGTTATTGGAAGAGTACAGGCTTAGACAATGGGGTGCCACTTCATAAAGTAGCTATGATAATCAAAATACCCCATTTTTCCCAACCGATTTTACCATGTGATAAAGCAGCAAGTGGGCCCTTACCAGATGTTGGCACTTTGACACTGGGCTTCCAGGACTCCAAAACAGAGGTGGTCATTTTTTTTTAAATAGGAATTACACAGCCTGTGGCACACTGTTACAGAACTGCACTGTCTAATAAGGCATGTCCCTCAGCAAATCCATTTAGCAACTTTTCAGGTTGGAGTTTAGCTGTAGGGCCAGGGTGATTTGAAATGCACTCTTACAAGGGCATCCTCCACTACATATACAGCTGGAGCCATGGGTCCCTCCATGCGACTCTGGGAGCTCTGGTTGACTGGTATTGTTGCTCTTCCCATGGGGCCGCAAGCCCCTTCAGCATCTTCAGTCTGCTAACTCCTCCATTGGGAGCCCTGTGATCTCTGTATATGTCAGATTCTGTATATGTCAGCATGCACTTCCTGGAATCAACAGCAGTGTCTGCATTTGTTGACTGCACATGGGATGGATCCCCAGGTAGGGCAGTCTCCACATGGTCCCTCCTCCAGTCTCTGCTCCACATTTTGTCTCCGTATCCTTATTTGCTTCCATGAGTATTTTGTTACTCCTAAGACAGACCGAAACACCCATACGTTTGTCTTTCTTCTTGAGCTTCACGTGGTCTGTGAGCTCTATCTTGGGTATTCTGAGCTTTTGGGAGAGGACGTCCTTGGTCCCGTGAAGGCTGGATTTTCCAGTGTGGGGGAATTCGAGGGGAGGGAGAGAGGAGTGGGTGGATGGGTGGGGGCACACCTTCATAGAAGCAGCAGGAGGGGAAACAGAATAAAGGATTTCTGGGGGGCAGGGAATGGGGAAAGGAGATAACATATGAAATGTGAATAAATAAAATATCCAAATAAATAAATGAGAGAAAGAAAGAAAGAAAGAAAGAAAGAAAGAAAGAAAGAAAGAAAGAAAGAAAGAAAGGAAATGCACTCTACAATTAAAGCAAGGGTGACAATCTTGCAACATCTGTCTCTCAAAACGTGTTAGTCTATGTAGTGCTCCAAAATCCACACACTGGGTAACTTAAAAACAATACATATTGTTAGTTCTGCAGGCTGGAAAACAGCAGTTTCTTTGGTGTTGGCCCATTTCTGCTCCAAAGTCAGCACCCTGTTCCTAGATCTTCCACAGGAGGGTTAAAAGAGGAAGAGAGCTAAGTTTCCTTCCTCTGCCACAGTACAGGGTATTCAGCCACTGATGGGGAGCTTTTCTCATGAGCAATCCCATCCCAAAGGTCCCACACCTCTTAATACCACAGCAGATTCTAACCACTCAGACTTGATGGAAAACAGTAAAACCATTAGCAATTGGGCTCCAGCCCAAAGATGAAGAGCTGACTACAAGATTCTGAGAAGACAATCCATCCTCAAATGTTGAGGATATAGAACTTATAGCTAGTTTTTCTCACGGGTACAACCAAAGCTACCCAAACGTAGCTCACCTCAAGCTTAAGAGTTGTCAAGAAAGCTGTAATAACGTGTTTGCCCTTAAATATTTGCAGCCTAAGATTAAATTCTAAGCAACAGCAGTGTGCACTCTTAACTGCTGAGCCATCTCTCCATCCCAAATACAACCTTTTTTTAAAAATATTTATTTTTTTCTCAAATCGTAATTCATTCACACAGGGGTTATAAACACAGAAAGGTAGGACATGGGGAAGGGGATGACACTGGAGTGTGGGTGTTCAGGGGGAATACTGATATCTTTCAGTACCGGGTATCGGCTGGGTGAAGGTTCAGGGGACAGGTCACTATGACTCTCCCTATGACTCACTTGTCCTTATCTAAGTTGGTATTGTCTGCTAAGGCTACCTATTTACAAGGTCTATGACTACTCGGGATGCTAAATTTCCACAAAAGCTGCCTGTTTACAATAGCTTATAGCCATCTGTTTCAATGTTTTTCCACAGAGACCCAAGACTTGATGTTAGTATACATATATGTATGACAGGCCTATTGCTGATTTTAGGCCTTCAGTGTGTAATCGGGGCTGCCCCTGACCAAATACAATCTTACTCTTAATTCTATCAACCAAAAGTATTCTACAAGCCAGAAATACATATGGTAAACCACAAAGGGCAATTTTCAGAGGTAATGAAGAATTCCCACCTAATAAAGTTGACACATGTTGCACACAGACTAAGAAAAGCTCTGTGGGCCAAGCCAGAGCTCTGCAGATGTCTATACGCATGCTGTAGCTGCCTTTTCTGTAGGGAGTGAAGCGAGGCCTCGATGCAAACAGAGTCGACGGGCTTGGAATAAGTGTGCCATACAAAGTAGTATAAGAATGAAAGGTTAGAAGCACCAACTGAGAAAGGTGCCAAGAAAGGAGAGAAACCTGGATTCAACTCCTTGCCATTGTAAGAGCGAAGTGGCCTTGGTTAGAGGATAGCCTCTTCTGAGCACTCGGGATCCTCGTCAACAAATGGAGAGTACAAACTACATTGGAGGCCTACTCAAGCTCCAACATTCCTTAATTACTTTTAATGCTGGAAGAAAAACTCATTTAATTAAAAACTCTAAATTCACTCAGTCATTTAATATGCCTTTTATTACACACATCACCCATGTCAGATACTGGAAAGTCTGGGAACAGACACAGAATACGGATATACAGCAACAAACGCCTTAATGTAAGCTTTCTAAATAACGGACAGCTACATAGACAGTGAAGTCTGTCAATACATAGTTAATACTAACCAGCTAGCGAGAGTTTTGGCCAATAGTGTCTTATTCCTCCTTCACACCCCTAACTTGCTTAGGAAAATCAAGTTTAAAGAATTCTTGCACTTATAATCAATTCCAAAAGTGTCAAGTTTAGAAAAACTTTATTTTAAAGACTCTTAGTAGGACTTCAACATAAAAAGAAAATCAGTGTCCAGCGTATTAGAGGCTGTGAAGAAATCTGCTTCATAACCACCACTATGCACGTCATTTACCAGCTGTGGGTAGTAGAGGACATGATGCAACATTTTACTTAATTACATGAACTAGAGTTTATTAAGAATGAGATGAACCGTCCCTATGAATAACATTTCATAAAGGTTACAAATACATATGAACTCACAACTGAGTTATTTAAAATATATATGAACATACAATTGAGTCATTTGATTTAGTATTTTATAATTTTTTTTAAAAAAATCTAGCTCCATAATATATATGTTAAAAAATTTACCATATTTCTCTGAAATACAAGCATACAACTAATAGTAAGGTCCAAAATGAGAAGAATTACTTTCCCCAGGAGAGGGAGGGGGAGGTGGTGGAGGAAGGGGTGGTGGGGGCATGGAGTATGATAAGTTAAGCACAGGATGAGAGGCCATGCTAGGTGCAGCCCACCCCATGCTTACAGTTGGTGGGGGCGGGGGTGGGGGTGGAGGAGGGAGTGGAAAGTTATGCATATCAAACATGGGCGTGGGAAAAGGATAGTGGGGCATGACAGGACTGTCTTGTCTCTGAGGTGGAAATCCCAGACTCTCTTGCGATGCCATATGATCTGAGTTATAGTACTGTTGAGGTGGAGGCCTGGCATGGCTTCCTCGAGAATATCTTCCCCTTGGAAAGCCTCGTGTGAATTCCCTGTTGTGATATCCTTTTGAATGTTCTGAAGAGCTATAAGCATTCCAATTCTGATGCACTTCACCAAAATCTTCACCTTTGATAGCAGAAATAAAGAAAAATTAAAATTTACTCTATTAAGATCATTGTTAAAAAGTGACTTCTATTCCTTAAGTTACTAACATGACAGAAAATACAATTTTAAATGAATTGAAAAGGTACAACTTGCTAGGCGGTGGTGGCGCACGTCTTTAATCCCAGCACTTGGGAGGCAGAGGCAGACGGATTTCTGAGTTCGAAAGTTCGAGGCTAGCCTGGTCTACAGAGTGAGTTCCAGGACAGCCAGGGCTACACAGAGAAACCCTGTCTCAAAAAATCAAAAAAAGAAAAAAAGAAAAAAAAAAACAAGAAAAAAAAAAAAAAAGAAAAGGCACAACTTATGTTTAAAGATTAGGGAAGACCAGCAAAACAGAAGACATTTACTAATAACTGCATTCAAATCCCACAGAAAGCTCACAGCACTATCCCCATCCACACCCAAGGTTGAGCATGAAGGCTACATTCCTGCCTAGTATTTGTGCTACAGAAATGAAAATTTATTTTAAAAGCTTGTGCAATATTAGATTTATTCCTGACACCCCGCCCCCCCCCCCCAAAAAAGCCAGATGTTCCTTAATGGATAGGTAGTTAAACTATGGTACAATTCCCTCCAGGACAGGACTCCAGAAAGAACAATCTACACATCTAGCAACTTGGATGAATTTCCAGCAAAGTATGATCAGCACCAAAAGCAATGTGTGACTTTAACACTGTGTGATCAACTACAGGATTTCACTGACGTTCCTGAAATGACCAGATATTAAAGAAATGTAGAACAGCACAGACAAAGCAACTCCAAGCCCAGCAACTGCACATGCAAGACAGACAGAGGAGGAAGGAACAGAGAAACACAGGCAAATAGACAGACAGCGATGCTTGTCATGAACTAAGGTGAGAAAGACATATGTAGCCACAGCTAGAAAGCAAATAAAGGACTAAAGAGCATTCTGTTCTGCTCTTAAAAATATTGAGCCTTGGAAATAGTAGCTCAATAATAATCCTAGCTGTGGGACAGCAGTTTTATAAGATGTTGCAAGTAAAAGAAATGGGGTGACAGACATATAATAAATCTCTCCTGTTGTTTAATACAACTATGTAAATCTACAATTATCTCAAAAAGCTTAATTTTTTTAGTGAAGATATTATAAAAGAGAATGTCAAAATAAATAGTGGGAATTGGGTATCATACACTGAGGTCTAATCATGGGCACACACAGACTTGTTGAGCAAACTACGCTGGCAGCACAACCTCCTCTAAGACTCAGTTGTCACCCTAGAAGACAACTAGAGATGGATCTCCTTAGAGGGCTCTCAACATAACCCATGCAGTGTAACACCTCCAGGGTGAGAGGCACCAGGAGGTAAACGGTCAATGCTGATGCTGATTTGTACTTACCTATTTGTAGATGAAGGCCAAAAATGACTTTGTAAACAATGTACTCACCTGACTCATTCAATTCAGATTTGAGTTTTTTACGGCCTTGAATCTGTGATTTTTTCCTCTGTTTGGCTTCTTTTTCTTTTTCATCATCACTGAAATCCAAAGCCTTGCAGATAAAAGTAGAGATGCACTTAGCATCGGTTTGCCAATCAGACAGTAGACACTTGCTCAAACCATAGCTTACTCACTGACCAGAGGAGGGGTGCTCACTTCAACTTAATACTACCTATCAATACGTGAGTTAACATCTAAAATAATAAAAAATCTGGTTACTTTGATTTTAAGCCCTAATAAATTTGTTAAGCTGGACACTCTAGTTCTTTGTTTGGTTGTTTGGTTTTGGTCTATTTAATTCCTAGAAATCTTCAGATAGGTAACTTTAAAATGCCAAAATTAGCAAATTCAGATATGGAATATATTCCATTCCCTGGCCAGAAGTCCAACTTCCTGCTTAGATTTAAGATTCATTATCATGCCAGCTGCCAGAGAATGCCACAGAAAATCAAAGAAAGCAGTAATGAAGACTGAGCTACTTTTTTTTAAACACATCATCAGATCCAAAAGAGACATAAAAGACATCATTCTATGACTTGTTCTCTCTAATTCAAACACAAGCTTTGCCCATCGACCTCATGTCAACTTGAATCTCACTCCTATTGCACAGATAAATACAACGATTTATCAATGTATTCGGCAAATGGATGGAACTAGAACATATCATCCTGAGTGAGGTAACCCAGTCACAAAAGAACACACATGGTATGTACTCTCTGGTAAGTAGGTATCAGCCCCAAAGCTAAGAATACCCAAGATAAAATTCACAGACCACATGAAGCTCAAGAAGGAAGACCACAGTATGGATGCCTCAGTCCTTCTTAGAAGGGGGAACAAAATACTCAAGGGAGGAAATAAGGAGACAAAGTGTGGAGCAGAGACTGAATGAAAGACCATCCAGAGACTGCCCCACCTGGGGATCCATCCCATATACAGACACCAAACCCAGACATTATTGTGGATGCCAAGAAATGTTTGCTAACTGGAGCCTGATATAGCTGTCTTTTGAGAGGCTCTGCCAGAGCCTGACAAATACAGAGGCAGATGCTTGCAGCCAACCATTGGACTGAGCACGAGATCCCCAATGGAGGAGCTGAAGAAGGGACTGAAGGAGCTAAAGGGGTTTGTAACCCACAGGAAGAACAACAATGTCAACCAACTAGACTCCCCGCCACAGGGCTCCCAGGGACTAAACCACCAACCAAAGAGTACACATGGAGGGACCCATGTACTCCAGCGGCATATGTAGCAGAGGATGGCCTTGTCAGACATCAATGAGATGAGAGGCCCTTGATCCTGTGAAGGTCCGATGCCCTAGTGTAGGGGAATGCCAGAGTGGGAAGGGGGAAGTGGGTAGGTGGGTGGGGGAGCACCTTCATAGAAACGGAGGGGGGAGGGAAGGAGGATGGGATAGGGGGCTTCCAGAGGGGAAACCAGAAATAACATTTGAAATATAAATAAATAAAATATCAAAAAAAACCACCCCAAAAACACAACACAACAAACAAACTCTGACAGTAGGGGAGTGTCGGGTGGGTAAGGAGAAAGCAGCAAAGACTTACTGAGCACACAGTCAAAAGAATAGAGTACATAAAATAATGGGCTCTGTAAGGCAAACCAAAGCTTTTCTCCAATAGAACGGAATCAGAACACTGTAGGATCAGGTTAACTGTCTTCTCAGGAGTGAGAGGCAGAAAAATTTTTAACTGGGACAAGTTTAAGAGATTGCTTTGAGTAAATTTTGCTTTCATCCCCTAAAATCATCTTTCTTCTACAAATTCAATTTTGCATTCATGGAATATTTAAATCCATTATAAAATTTGTATATGTACATTAGAATTATAAAGATGAATAAGATTTATATCTAAGAAATCTTTGTCTTTTATAAATGTCCAGCATTTTACCATGGTCTAAAATTAGAGAATTCTAATTTTCTAGAATTCTAGAATTCTTCTAGTCTGCAAGATGCCATTAACAACTATATAAAATTAAATCCCAACATCTTCCAAGAGCTAGTCTGTCACCCCCAACCCCCAAAAACTACAATCATACAGCATGTGGGATTTGCTTCTGTAAAAACGTAAATCTAAGCAAACTAATTCCGTAAGAACTTGACATTACCAAAATTACTAACTTTAATCCTGAGACCTAAAAATGGGGATTTAATAGGATCAATTTTAAGGCCGATGTAGATGTCCGAACACTTTAAAACATGCAACTTCATTAAGATGTTGTAAGTATAACAGAGAATGTGAGTGAGTACACATTCTTAACATCACCAAGTAACATTTGGTTAGATACCAAGACAAGCTACTCCCTAAGTGATTCATTCCTGTAAGATCTCCTGAAGGGGCCATAACCTGACTCATACCTCAAAAAGGCTAAACTAACATAGACCCATGATCTTCTGTACTGTTTGAGATATTTGAAGTATTCAGAAATTACATATTCAATTAAACCAAAACCATAAAACAAAATCTTTACAATACCCAATTCTCCATCGCCTGGCGTGGAAGAAAATATGTGATTCTCAAATAAGACCCACAGCTCTAGTAAGATTACATTACTAGCCCACCTTAGGAGATGAAACTAAGGTCCTATGGACATAAACACAAAACATATAATCAAGAGATGAAGTTTTAGAAGAATAACTGTGTTATACAAACATGAGGGACTAGAGTTGGCATATGCTCCTGACACTACCCACACCCCCAATAGGAGGCTTACTTTTGCATCACAGCCAAAGGTTATCAGTTCCCACACTGGCATTCACTAAACTTAAGAGTAAATTTGATTTTTAAGTAGTAACATTTTGTCTATCAACAAAGTTTATATAAATGAGAATTAAACTAAGTAATCTAGAATTAATTAACAATGTATATGATGCCTTATTGAAACATTAAATAAAAACGTTCATACTAACTTCTGGAGGTGGTTCCTGATCATTCTTCCAAGAAGCATCCGATCCTCGGTCCCTGGAAAAGATCATATTCTGTTCAGTGCTTATAGAACCTGACACTATGAGAAATCAGATGGGCCCAGCCTTTACTTTAATATGAAAATATGAAGAAAATGAAACTATTTTTGGCATCCTTTATCAATCTCAAATAACGCAGGCATCCTATAGGAAACATACACACACGCACACCTGGGACATGTGTTGACACTTGGGATCGGAGATGAGTAGAAGGTTATGCTGTTCAGAGCAAGTGGTTCTGCACTTGATTCTCACTTTGAAGATGCCTGACCTTTGTATAGAATTTGGTTCCACAGCCACACATGAGAAGATGCTCCATCTGCTGCAGACATGACAATAACAGAACAATTCCCTTTCTAGAACTCTGCAGGAACAGGCAGAGGCAAAGGTACAAGTTCTTTTTCCTTACCTCACCTAAGAAATATCATCAATTTTATGAGTGATTCTCAAAACAAAAGGGTAAATAAAAAAAAGACTGGGGAGTTTGGGGAGAAGGAACACTGAATATGCTGAAGGACATTGTAGTGTATCAGACACCTATATGAAAGGAGTCATTAGTGACAAAATTAGTAAACATTAAAAAAGGTGTAAGTATCAGAGTATAATTATAGTTTCTAAAACCTCATTTTCAAAATATCTGTTTAATCTTAATTATCTCATGGTTTCAGGCATCTTTCTTAACTATATTAATACAAATTATTGTGACCAGATATCCTGACTACTTTAAATTAGACCTTAAAAATAAATGAGATTCTCCAGAAACAGTACCACTAATTATCAATGTGCCAATGACACTGATGTCACAAAATGAAAACTAAATTGCTAAATTTATAAATTTAAATTTTTCACTGAGATCTTTGACATTGTATGGTGTTATCAATGACTGTTTTTTTAAAGTCAGCTGTCATTAACCTGCTCACCTTACATGAATCCAGTGTTCCTTCTGAATACAATCAGTACTAGAAATGATGTTTAAGATCCTTCTTCTGGCGCTTATAAAGATAATAGTAAAGTTCTTAGCTAGTGTGTCTACCACAAGAAAGTCAAATTCACCAAGGAAAGATCAAGCAGCAAGACAGCGAGTGACAGACAGCAAGCTGATGTAGTCCTGCTAGGTTAGGTTAGAACTGCAAACGGGTGAACCACTTCACTCCAAAAGCCAAGGTTTGCACACAGGTAGGCATAAGGAGACACCAAAATGAATAAATGGGTAGGGTTCTGCAGTACAGCCTCAACGCTCCCTTTTCTGGTTTATTCATATTTCTCAGAATTGAAAATCAACAATGCAGATCTGCTGTTACTTAGCTATATTGTAAGCATTTTCAGAAACTCTTTTTTGGCAACTGTTAAAGGTTACATATGTAACACATACACTGGGTAGCATCTTAATATTCACGGAGGAATGCAATAGCCGCTGCCTTAGCATTATTTAAAATGTAATGACTTCATGTAAAAAAAAAAATTAATCACATACAGCTGGAAAAATAATTGAAGCCAAATGGTTCTCCTTTAGATTCTTATAGATGGCATGTCCATTATGAAGACTAGAATATTCATTTCTGAAATAGTACATGAAATTTAGAAACCTAGTTTAACATAAAAATGTCATAGAGAATTTCTTATGTGGTATCTGAAAATAGCTATCTTTTTATAAGGCTAGGCACTATGGTACAAACTTGAAAACTCAGCACGTGGGAGACAGAGGTAGGAGGATCAGGAATAAGTCCTGCTAGATACATGACACTCTGCCTTAAACAACCAGAAAACAAACAAACAAACAAAACAAAAAAAACACTAAAAATAATTTTTTAAAGTTATAACTTTATTGGAAATAATTTTCCTTATGTAGTAATACTGATATTGAAGTACTCTGTATAACAAAGTATCTAACGGGGAAAAAAAAAAACAATGAATAAGGGTTCTATTTTCTGCAAATGGTGTGATTCTAGTGGCTGATCACAGTATCTGGGAAAAGCATAAAATTACATATTTTCTACCTGTTAATGCTGATGACAAATCATAGCTCTCAAAGATGTTCATAGAAAGAAAAATAACTTCTCTGGAAAACAGCTACCATTTAAGCATAAGAAATAATCATCTAAGAAGAATCACTTCTAAAATACAAATGACTGACACATGAAGACCACACAGCAATGAAGCACTTACTGTTTGAGTTTTTCTGTGAATATATATTGAGTGAAGTCTTTCATGGATGGAGCAAAATACATAGTGTCCTTTATTTTGATACCTTTACTCTCAATGTGATCTGAAGAATTAAATCGTAACACATAAAATGGATGGGCAACAGGTCCAAATATCTCAAATATCTACAAAACAGAAGACATGGAAAATGTATCCTTCAATAGTAATTTAACAAGGTAGCAAGATTTTTAAGAACATTGATAATTGCTAAAACAAGGCAATTTTGTTAGAGTGATAATTTTTTTACACCCGAAGTTTTTTTTTAATTACAAATACAATAGCTTATTATAAATTTCTTTCCTGTAAATAAAGGAATAACAAGTTTGTTTTTTTGAATAATTCTAACCATTTTGGTGGTACATTCTAGATGCAAATAGTAAACTTTACCATCAATGTTCATGAATTATATGCTATACACATCTAAAATTGTCAAATTTAGACAGTCAAAAATTGGAATCTTATGATGGAAAACATAAAAGCAAACTAAAGGGTCAATTACACTGTTGTCATAAAATGCTGGCTTGCATTTTGGAAAGTGAAGCTATCTATCCATGGCTTTTCCAAGATTAGAAAGGAGCAGAGCAGCTGGCACTGCTTAAGACTGCAGTCCCAGCCATGGAGGCAGAAGCTGAAGACCTGGCACAGCCCTGTTCTCCACAGCTACAGTGGGAGGAGCAGAAATCCCTCCTCTGTGATCTAGCACATTCCAATAAATTGTACTGTTTAAGGCACTTGCAAAATTTGCTCAGTATCATATGTGATGATGAAATCCTATGGAATCCTTGATTTGGAAGGGGTGCAGCTGTCAGAGCTGAAAGCATGAGGATTACAGTACTTATTTATTACCAACTTACTAATGGCAATAAATGTGCCTGTTTTACTACCCTCTTGGTACCTAATTTTCTAAGTGTTCTCATTTTGTGATTCAATATTTTATCCATCTTCATTAAAGAACAAAACTGCTGACCTAGCAAGGTAAGAGTGTTCTCAAGTTTAGGAATACTCTAATTAAAATAGTCACAATTAAAATAATAAAATAATAGATGGATGAGGGAGGAGATGGGGAATGGGGAAGGGGGGATGATGGATGGAAACATGGGGAGAGTTGGGGTAAGGTCCCATGGTGGCTATGAGGATGACTCTAGCTGAAACTCCTGGTAGTAGGGAACACAGATCCTGGAATGGCCATTTCCTGTAGCCAGGCAGTGCTCCCAGAGCAACCCACCCACAAAACCTTCAACACAAAATGTTGCCTGCCTATAAGATGTGCAGGGACAAAGATAAAGCAGAGACAGAGGGAATGGCCAACCAATGACTGGCTTAAACTGAGACCCATCCCATAGGCACAAACCAATCCCTGACACTATTAATGATGGTCTGTTATGTCAGCAGACAGGATCCTAGCATAACTGTCCCCTGAGAGGCTTCACCCAACAGCTGACCTAAACAGATACAGAGACCCACAATAGATGGAGCTTGGGAAGTCTTGTGGATGAGTCACGGGAAGAAGTGGGGGACCCTAATGTGGGGCTGTAGGAATCCTGGGGTGTTTGGCCACGCCCCCAGAACCCAGAGACCTAACACGCAGTCTCCATTTCACCCATATAGTGGGTCACGTAAGGCACAGGTAGAGGGCGTGGCTAACAGGTGTCTGCCTCAAGAGTTACATATTAATGAATTACCTAAAGGCTGGGGCATAGATATCTAAATTTTCATCTCCCAAGCCCCTCCTGGCATTTTGTGGGAGAACACGCCATCCAGATACAACTACCATGACAATAAAACTTCCATTATCTTCAATTCCACATGTCTCCTGGAACTCTGGACTCTCTTTGTGTAAGTGGGAAACTCACGAGCCGGGGAAAGCCTCTCTGCCCCTCCCTGCTGGAGCCGTCAGCGTCAGCGGGTCTTTCTCCCCTGCAGCAGCGGTCCCTGCACCTTCTCAGGCTGCCCTGGAGACTCAGCCTTGGCAGCTGGGCCCACTGCGTCCCCGCTCTCCCTGTCCCAGCCGTCCGCGGGGCTCCCTCTCTCCTCTGCAACCACGGTCAGACTATATCGCGCGTGCCGCCCAAGTTTTAAACCACACTCTAACAGGTTAGGGACTCCACAGGAAGACCAACAGAGTCAACTAACCTGGACCCTTGGGGGCTCCCTGAGACTGAACCACCAACCAAATAGCATACACGTTCTGGACCAACAATCCCCCCGACACATATATGTAGCAGATGTGCAGCTTGGTCTTCATGTGGGTCTCCCAACAACTGGAGCTGGGGCTGTCCCTGAATTTACTGCCTGCCATTGGATCCCATTCCACTAACAGTCCTATCTGGCCTCAGTGAGAGAGGATGTGCCTAGCTAGCCCTGTAGTAACTGACGTGTATGTGTTCGGGGGGAGATATTCAGGGAGAGATCTCCCTTCTCAGAGTAGAAGTGGAGGAATGGGGAAATGAAGGAGGAGCTTCGGGGGGGGGGTCAAAGAGAAGAGGGGCGATTTGGGGACATAAAGTGAATAAATAAATTACTTTTAAAAAGTATCACGTAGCAAGTAATGGGAAGATTATTATAGACTTAGCCTGCACCTCATTGTTGTACCTCAGTCACAGGAAAATTTGGTTGATTGAAATATAATTTACTCCATCAAGATTAAAAGGATGTTGTTAACATTATTTTAAAGCAAAACAAAGAATCAATCAAAAAAAACTTTAATGATGCTCAGAATATAGATCTGATGTTGAGCAACATCTGAGGGTGAAACTGCAGAGCAACTTTACAGTTGGGCTCTGGGTAGTATGCCTGCCTTCTCAGAGTTCCCTAGGGGTTCTTTGCACTCCTGCCCTAACATTCTACTCAATACTAGAAAGTTTGTAATTGCACACCACCTAATGTGAAATGAAAACAAAGGGACTTTTACAGTGTGAGAAAAGCATAAATCACAAAGTTTAGAACAATAAGAACATTTACTTTGAGCCACCTACAAACATCTTTATATCTTAAATAAGATACAATTATACAAAGGATTCCTGTCAAAGCAGTTATCACATGCCGCCACCACAACCCAGCACTTACATAACATATGAAGCCGTGAGGAAACAACTAGTAACAGACATGCAGTCCCCCAGAGTCTCGACTCACAGCTGGTCAGTTTATGCGCCTGTGTGTGAGCCCTGGCCTAGCCAGCTGACAGGCTCTCTGGAGGACGAGCTCCATCTCCCTTCTAGTCACTCACCGGGCAGAGCTGGTCCATGAGGAACCAGGTTACTCCTACTTTCGCTAAGCAGCAATCTATCAGGAAACAGACCTAAACAGCTTGTTTTTCTCATTCTGGTCACTGGTTTGTTTCTCAAATATTTTTACCCAACTCTTTTCTAAACCTATTTCAAGGAAAAGGTACTTAGATCTACAATTACATTTTATTTCCTTCTCTGAGGTAGGATCTCTTCAATTCTGCTCAGACCATGGAATGCTGCATTGCCTACCACTTTTCAAATTTACAAGTTCTCTAAGTAAAATTTAAACACAGATGTCATTTACGTCCATGTATGTAAACTTCATCTAATGCATATCAATGTTTACTACCCTGAAAATTCACATATACTTGTGGTATAAAAATGCCATTTTTAAGGCTAAATTACCAAAGCATGTATTCTAAAATTAAAATTGCCCAAGGCAGCTATGATGAGAAAAAAAAAACATAATAAGAATTAGAAAAGCTATCAATTTTACTAAATTTCAGATTAAAAAAAAAATCAAGTAGCAGATTTCCCTTGCTCCTTCATGCTCCTGTCTGTCACCACTTCCTTGAGGACAGCAGTAAGCAGTAAGCACTCCATTTTTGCTGGGGCAAACTTAATTTCCTCTGAACAGGAGCGTGGGCTGTGGCCTCTCACTCTCTTTTTTGTTCCACCTAGGGTGCTTTTCTTCCTCCCTGTATGGAGACACACTCTGGCACCAAAAACACCCAGCCTAAGTTTTCAGAGGAGGAAAAGCACAGCATCATCCTCCCCATACAAATCTTTCCTCTCTTCACAACCTTCCCTCAAATAAAAAGTTCTCAATGCCAATAAATCCTGCCATCAACTGCTTTGCAACTGGCCATGGCATACTAATCTGCCAAATTTAACATATGTAGGTGGTAAAAGGTGACAGAATCTAAGCTGCTTTAAAATTAAAACAGTGAGGAAATCAGAGAACCAAGAAAGGGAGGTAAGTTTGCCTAGGAGAATGTCCTTCTTCCTGACCAATGTAACTTACTTTAATCTCCTGAAACAAAAAAGCTCATCTGGGAAAAACTAAATCCCAACAGCAAGTTACAGAGAGACACAGGTTTCTTACTTAGGATTTCAGGCACATCTACTCAGCACATTTAATTCAGAACTCAACACTTGTTTAGTACTTAAGCTCTTGAATTTAAGAGGTCCAGAATTACCCAACTTATGGGGCCAAGTGTGTGGTTGTCACATTAAGCATGGACAAGCATGGCTACCCACTAAGAGGCTAAAAGGGGTCCCATGGACATGGCTACTATATCCATATTGATAACCCTCTAGCTTGTATGTAGAGCAATATTGGATTTGTTGCTGAAATCTTTTCTCATAAAATAAATAAATAAACTCCCCTCTGTACCTCCATCTGAAGAGTTTCAAAGCCACTAACTTAAAAAAGAAAACCAGTAGCTATTACTACACTGTGGAAATGCTAGTCAGCTCTGAGTACCGGTGGAAAGAGAAGCAATGTCAGTATTTTGAACTTCTCCCTCTGAATATCTGACAAAAGATTTGAAAAAAAAAAAAATGAACATGTGAATCTACTGGTCCATGCAACAAAGAATTTTATGGCATATTAAGCCAATTTATAACACACACGAAGAACTGAGAATGAATTATAACTTGATGACTTGTCTACTTAAAAAGCTCTTAAGACAAGAGAAACTAGAAAACAAAGTAACAAGAATTTGTATGAGTTTTAACAAACCTTTCCTGCTGCTTGTCGATCACTTTTGAAAATGACAGTATCCTCATTAACTGGAGGTATGTTAGTCATAGACTCAATTATTACTGAAAAATACACAAAAAACAGATTATGGTTTAAAAAGAAGATACACTAGAATTTTAAATATAATCTAAGCTTTAAGTGCAATACAACTAAAGATTTAAGGTGGCATAATATACTTCAGTAAGTAGTAAACAAAATCTCAAACAGCCATAGACAAGAAAAAATATTTAACTAAAAACTGAATATTATTCTTCCAAGCTTAATGACTAAGATAAAGTGTACATGTTTCAAAAAAACTTAATACATTAAGTCCTTGACCTTGACATCAAGTGCATGCCTGAACATCAATCTTGTTAATATAAGTTATTTACATACCTAATTGTTCAATAATGCTCGAAACCTTTCCAAGAGGTTTTAGTGCAATGTCTTCAGGCAGAATTACAGTGAGTTCTTCAACAGAAGGTAGTTCCTATAATATAGTGGAAAACATTAATCTCCTTGCAGTTTCAAACACATTTTTTTAAAAAGGGAAAAATATTTTCCATTTAAAGTGGGACGCAGCCTGTTGAAGACCGATAGTAAGGATTAAAGCACTCCCTCAGTGTCTCCTTTGTAGTAAGTACCCAGTTGGACTGCTGAGTGCAACTCTTGACACTTAAGTGGCTCAGTGACTCTGTACATTAGCCAAAGAATATAAACTTAAACACTACCAATCACACTTGCCAAGAGATGACCTCTGTAAAGAAAAGCAGTATTAAGGAATCCAGAGAGAAGACAGGCAGTGGTGGCGCACGCCTTTAATCCCAGTACTTAGGAGGCAGAGACAGGTGGATTTCTGAGTTCGAGGCCAGCCTGGTCTACAGAATGAGTTCCAGGACAGCCAGGGCTATACAGAGAAACCCTGTTTCGAAAAAACCAAAAAGGAATCCAGAGAGCCCATTTGAAGAGTTCTACTTCGGACTACCATTCCCCCATGGCAGGAGCTTCTCTACTTTGAGCTGTTTTGTTAATCTAGCTAATTATTAATGTGACTTTAATTACAGTAGAATAAACAATCAGCAATCTTTCCTGGCATTGTGTAAAGTGTGAAAGTCTGACAGTTGACACCTATCAATCAAATATAGAATTCTTGGAAACAGATATGGCCTGTAAAAGCTGAAAAGATGTTACCTCCTACCTTCTCTTTCCAGGTTAAAAAAATAAGTTTCGTAACACCTACAGATTTCTTTTTTGACCCAACTGTAAACTATACCTCAGTTGCTATAGAAACTAAATACTGAAATAGATGAAGTTAAAGCAAAATCTAAGAATAAAACTGATGTTAGCTTTCATATTAAGTAAACAGAGCTTTCTGCTCTTGATCCTTGACCAAATGGGATCCTTTCTGAAGAAGATCTGGAAGTGCAAAGGCCCTATCGGTGCCCTTAATAGTTATTGGTAGGATAATGTGTGGAAAAATGTCGAGAAAGATGAGAAAAATCTAAATAATACAAAATATAATGCAAATGATCATGGATAGTCATTTTTCCCTGTGGGAACATACATTTTTAAAAGAATCACTTAATCATATGTTTCAAATATATTTCCTTCTGGAATACACTATTGTTTGTTTTAAAATCAAAGATTACTTACGAGGGTTTCAGTGCAGCAATCTGCCTCAGTAGAGTTAAAACATGACTAGTGTTAAAGGAAATACTTTTGTTTCAACTGTCAGATTTCTACTGAGCATCTTCAGGGAGAGAACCACCACCTGCCATTTTTGAAATGTGTTATTTTATATATATGTTTTGTTTAATATATATGTGTATGTTTTTGTTACAAGTATGTGGGTGTACCACATGTATGCTTGGTGCCCAAGAAGCCCAGAAGAGGGCATGGAATTCCTGGAACCTGAGTTACAGGTATGTTGAGTCATCAAGTGCATGATGGGAACTGAATCTCTTAAGGGCTGAGCAACTTGTCCAGCCCCCACTTGCACTTTAACACAATAAAGACAGAAGATCCTCCTGCTTTGATGCGTATCAGATATCAAAAAGACTTTTGAAATAAGTCCTAATTGTAAAATATATATTCATGTAAAAAACAAAAACACCCTCTAGCAGTACAGGATACAAAGTGCAGCCCAAGTCCCTGACCTCATCCTTGCCACACCATAGTCACTGTCACTCGCCTGTGCTCCCTTCAATACACTCACCATGCAGACTCAGGCTTTACCTAGCTTGATACTTTTCACTCTACTGAAGTATCCTTGTTGCACACTACCTGTCTCCTTTACAGCCTGCATTTTATCCTAGACCAAAACATAAATATCTACCCAATTGTACTTTATACCTGATGTCTTCTAGAGGTGTACCATAATCTAACACAGTAATCATGAAATATATTTATCTGCTCTCTAAAAATCTTTGACATATGTTTTTATATGACTTTGTGTGACTCTTATAAGCAGACCTCCTATATTATCCTACACTGTATCAATTCTTATTTCTTACATCATGCCCCTACAGAAATAAACTTAAAATCTCTGCCAGTTCATATAGAATAAGACAGTATCTTGCTTTCAAACATCTTTGCTTTACACTTGACTGATAAGCAAGACTACGTATTTCTTGGTGATATGTATGTGTTCATGAACTGAAAATGTAATTTATGCAGTCTTCTTCTAGAGGATTTATCTTTTACTGACTTTTCTGAGAACTGTGGACTTTTAAGGCTATTTTCCTTGTTTCACATATGCAGCAAATCTGCACCCTTGACCCTTGCCTGGTCGAACATACATCTGACACTACTGAGTTGCTGAAAAACCCACTGCATAGTCGCCACTTCACTAGTTTCAGGAGTCAGTATTGGCTTATTTGGTCCATTCATTATGCTATTCTTGTATAAAAGTAGAGCAGGAACTGGCTTTATCTTTACCTAAAATACTAGCTGGTGATCCTCACAGACTATAATCTTCCAGATGGACATGAACAGCAGACTTTAACATATTAAATATACTTATTCTTGCATGGCTCTACCAAAATCTCAGTTTAGCTCCACTGCCCTGTGATACCATCGGTATATTAACTATGGCTCTCATCTACTCAGGACAAGCTAACTCCCTATCAACTCCATCAATATTTTCCCAATGGCATTTTTTCCTAATTGTTCTTACACGTTTATTTTACTAGGTAAACTTCAGAACTGTCATATTATTATTGTTAGTATTGACTGAGATTACAGTATAGTTTTTATGCCTACATTAGCACTTAGGCTGGTTATAAGCTACTTTACTAATTATTCGCTAACATAAATTCCTAGTATTTAGCCCCCACACCTCTTCCTAACTCCAACTCCATGAGCTCAGTTCTCTCCCCTTCCTCCATGTTCTTTTGAGGCAGGGTCTCACTACATAGCTCTGGTTGTGCAGGAACTCAACACAGACCAGGTTGGCCTTAAACACAGAAATCCACCTACCTCTGCTTCCCAAGTGTGTGTGCATCACTCTGACTAGCTTTGTCTGATTCTTTACAGGAATGTAACTGGCACACTCTTTGCAGTATTAGTGCTTTATGTTTTCAGATTTTTTATTATCAAGTAAGTATAACAGTGGGCATGATAACTAATTCTAACAATGTTGTGTTAATAATTACATACTGATTTGTATTTTATGTTAAAAAATATATAACTACTCCCCTAAGGTAAATCAAAAGAAGCCCAGTGAGTTTTACTGTCTTTTCATCACTTATTAACACAAATTTTTTGTAGGTTCCTCAGTATATATTGTGATGAAGTCTTAATATTCTTCTAAGGAATACTTTCAGGAGAAGAAAATATACAGCATCAGACTGTTTCTAAGGCAAATGCTCAGTGTTGTCATATGGGAGTCTAGTAAGACAATCACTGCCGTATTTCAATCGTTATAACAATGAAAAGTCCCAACTAAAAGTGTGCAGGACATCTGATTTCATGGAGAAATAAACTCAGGGAAAAATTAAAGACTGGGATTCCTGATTGCCACCATAACTTCCAATCTCAGTTAAGTAATCTTGAGGAGCCTGAAATATGAGAATGTATATTTCCTCAGCAGTAAGTTGAAGGGATTAAATTCACCTTTATTCACTCATTAATTTGTGTGTGTGTGTGTGTGTGTGTGTGTGTGTGTGTGTGTGTGTAAGCCAGGAGTTGACATAAGTATCTATCATTCTCACTTTGGTTTTTTGAGACAGGGTATCTTTGCTAAGTCTGAAGCTCACTGACTGCTACCCAGACTGGTGTGTAAGCTTCAGATCTGTAGTCACACCCTCCCTCCCCAGTGATGGAGTGGGAGATACATGCCACAACACTCTTTACAGCAGAGCACCTACCTATAAAGTACCATAAATAAAGTCTCTATTCTAAATATTCTACAGAACACAGAGCATACACAATCAACTAAATACTGTACACAAAAAGTGCAAGGGGTAAGTAATGAAACTAGCATCACACAATTCGAATTTGACCTTATTACAGAGTGTGCCTTGAAAAATCAGCTAAATTAAGCTGTACAACAAAGTTATGTCCAGAATGACAGATGTTTTTCAGACAAAAATCAATAGAAAATAGATGTTTATTTCCTTCAAATAAAGAGGCTAGGAGAGAGAAAAGAGAAAAAAAAAATTTCAAGTTCCATCAGCTAGAATTCATCTAAGTCATATCCTTTCCTTGAAAATTACTGGTAAACCAAGGAAGCAGAACTTTTAAAGGTTCGCAAGGGATAGGTCTCTGGAAAACTTCAAAGTGAAGTTCTCTGGATCACCATGTCCCATAGAGTATTAATACGGCCTGGTCTTGATGTTTGTGTTGCAAGGGTTACCATCTCTTCCTAACCACTAAGTCTAAAGAGCTACAGGACCAAAGCTAGTTATTCTTTACCTGATGATTCTACTCTTTTTTTCTCCTTCAATTCACAATAACATTCTATGCATTTTTTTTTCACATCCCTAATGAGAAAATAAACCCAGTAACTAGGACCTTGTCAGCTTGGCACCCAGCACAATGACTAGAACATTCATTATATATTTATTAAGTAAACTGATCCATGCTACCACTCTAAGCTAATCAAAGATCTCAGAAGTCAATGTTCACTTTAGTCAGAGGGAAAATCAGAAAATGAAAATATAATTTAATATACAACCCTCAAGGAAGGAAAAAACACCTGAACCCAACCATCTCAAAATAAAATAAAGCTTCCTAAGAAAACTTACTGCCAAGAATGATGCATAGACACCTCTAGCTGCAGCTGCAAGCATGGCCACAATTAGGTTAACACTGGCTTCCCTGATAGCACAACAAATGCCCTGGTCAGACAGTATGTAAATCTCCTCAGAGGCATATTACCCACTAGTAAAGGAAACAGAAGTCAATCGCTTTACTTTTTTGTAGGTGGTAAAAGGGTATACATGTGACAAGAAATAAAAATATACAAACAGCAATAATAGGGGAAAAGAG